TAAGTGTTATTTTCACATTCTATGGGACCTATGCGAAATTTCAATACCAAGAGAAATATGTAATTAATTCACTTTTTGACTGTATTGAACAGCAAAATACAAAATTTACATGGAAGACAACTATAACTCTACAAAACCATCCGTGCAAACAATCTTTTAATTGGTCATTCAAACTTCATTTACTCCTTGAAATAACAACTCTTTTTAAAATCAGACCAAGAGGAATCTCAAAAGAGTGTATTATATATCAATGCTCTGAAAATTTCACCATCTTCTTCTTTGTTTGTATCTCAACTCTGAAGCCATTTTCTTGCTCGAACTCTTAACATCCTAATGTTGAAGAAAGAAGAAGAAGACCAGTTCACTAAGCTTGCATGGTTATCTATTTATCTTCTAACCAAATATATACCCTTGAATTTGAGAAGGAATTGTCAAGTACAAAGAAACTTGGCTTTGGTCACTTAAGCGATGTCGGCTTATCTGTACAAGATCGCTTAAGCGAGAGCCCACATCGCTTAAGCCACCTTGAATTTGAGAAGGAATTGTTAAGTACAAAAAAAATTGGCCTTGGTCGTTTAAGCGACTCCAGATATCGCTTAAGCGATCACGTCTTATTCGTACATGATCACTTAAGCGACCATGGCTGATTTCCTTTTGTACTTAGTATAATCATTCTCAAATACAGGATCGCTTAAGCGATGTTAGATCTCGCTTAAGCAATCCAGTATACATAAGCCGTGATCGCTTAAGCGATAGCCCAATCGCTTAAGCGATAGCCCAGCCGCTTAAGCGATCAAGGCTAATTTCCTTTTGTACTTAGAATAATCATTCTCAAATACAGGATCGCTTAAGCGATGTTAGATCTCGCTTAAGCGATCCAGTATACATAAGTCCGTGATTGCTTAGCGATAGCCCACGTGCACTAAGCGATCAAGGCTAATTTCCTTTTGTACTTAGAATAAATTCTCAATACAGGATCGCTTAAGCATGTTAGATCTCGCTTAGCCATCATATACATAGTCATGATCGCTTAAGTGATAGCCCACGTCCTTAAGCGATCAAGGCTAATTTCCTTGTACTTGACAATTCCTTCTCAAATTCAAGGGTAGAGATTTGGGTAGAAGAGAACTAGATAACCATTAAGCTTAGTGAACAATCTTCTTCTTTTTCTTTGGAACATAAAGATGTTAAGAGTTCGAGCAAGAAATGGCTTCAAGTTAAGATATGTACGAAGAAACAGTGAATTTCAAGCATTGATAAATATTACACTCTTTTGAGATTCTTCTCGGTTTGATTTTAAAAAGTTGTTATTTCAGGAGTAAACGAAGTTTGAATGACCAGTCAAAAGATTTTTTGTACAGATGTTTTGTAGAGTTACAACTGTCTTCCATGTAAATTTTGTATTTTCCTGTTCAGTCAATCAAAATGTGATAATTACATTTTTTCTTGGTGTTGAAATTTTGCATATGTCCAATAGAATGTGAAAGTAACACTTGGGTCTTTGTCAATCAGCACGTACTAAAACTAAATGATTATTATTATTCTATTATTTTTGTTAGTCATTTTCATTTGGAAATGAGTTTTTTTCTACTAACTTTCACACTATGTGTTATGACATAAAACTTATATGTGTTAATAACCGATTTGCTTAAGCGATCAAGGCTAATTTGCTATTTTCTCCCGAATCTTGTGATGTTGTAACGTCCCAGTTAAATTAATGTTACTTAATATGGGGTTGTCAAATAATCCCAAAAAAAAAAAAAAAAAAAAAAAAAAACAAATTGCTTAAGCGATGCATCTCTCGCTTAAGCGTTCTAGTATATATCAGTCTTTGTCGCTTAAGCAATACTCGAAATCGCTTAAGCAAGCAAGGCCAATTATTGTCAAAATCATTCTTAAGTGCACGATCACTTAAGTGATGTCATGGCTTGCTTAAACGATTCAGTGTACATAAGCCTTCGTCGTTTAAGTGATACCAAACATCGCATAAGCGATCTAGTATATGGAAGTGTCAAAATCATCAAGTGCAGGATCGCTTAAACGATCCAATACAGATAACCCTTGATCGCTTACGCGATATCCGACATCGCTTAAATGATCAAGTTCAAGGCATTGTCAAGTTCATCCCCAATTGTACGATCGCTTAAGCGATGTCAAGTATCGCTTAAACAATCCAGTATATTTAGCCTTGGCCACTTAAGGGATACCCGACATTGCTTAAGTGATCAAGTCCAAGATAGTGTCAAGTTCATCCCCAATTGCATGATAGCTTAAGCGATGTCAGGTATCGCTTAAGTGATCCAGTATATTTAGCTTTGGTCGCTTAAGCGATACTCGACATCGCTTAAGCGATCAAGTCCAAGGCAACGTCAAGTTCAAGGCAGTGTCAAGTTCAATGTAGTGTCAAGTTCATCCCTAGTTGCACGATCGCTTAAGTGATCTAGTATATTTAGCCTTCGTCGCTTAAGTGATACCTGATATCGCTTAAGCGATCAAGTCCAATGTAGTGTCAAGTTCATCCCCAATTGCACGATTGCTTAAGCGATTTCATGTCTTGCTTAAGCGATCCAATCTATTTAGCCTTCGTCGCTTAAGCGATACCCGACATTGCTTATGCGATCAAGTCCAAGGCAGTGTCAAGTTCATCCCCAAGTGCACGATTGCTTAAGCAATGTCAAGTCTCGCTTAAACGATCCAGTCTATTTAGCTTTCATCGCTTAAGCGATTAAGTCCAAGGCAATGTCAAGTTCATCCCCAAGTGCACGATCGCTTAAGCGATGTTAGGTTTCGCTTAAGCGATCTAGTATACATAAGCCTTCGTATCTTAAGTGATACTAGATATTGCTTAAGCAACCATGGCCAAGGCGCTGTCAAAATATCCTCAAGTCCACGATCCCTTAAGCGATGTCAGATCTCGCTTAAGCAATCCAGTATATTTAACCCTTGATTGCTTAAGCGATATCTGCCGTCGCTTAAGCGATCATGTCTAACACATATTAATTCCATCTTTTCTCCTCAATTTGACAACTTAATTGCATCAACACATATTAATTTCATGTTTTCTCCTCAATTTGACAACTTATTTGCATCAACACATATTAATTCCATTTAACAAGATCACTAAATAAACTCAAAGTCAAAAAAGGGAAAGAAATACTGAATTGCTCTTTTATAAATATGAAATGTGTCCTTTACATGAAAATACAACATTATAAACAAGACATAAATGAACTAAAGCAACCCAAAATAACAGCAGCCTCGACAGCCTCCATCCTCCCTCTTCATCATTGTCTTGCAATATATAGGGCCCTACACGCAATTGCACGTGGCCAGCCTTGCAATATGCAGCGCAGCCCTAAGCCCTCCTATACCTCCCTCTCCTGCCATCCCTAACCATCTCCAACCTCCAACAAACAACCTCCCTACGACCTCCCTTGCTTTCCCCCATCCTCTGGAACCCAAACACAAGCACTCCCCCAATGCCTACCAACTGGTCAACAAAATGCCACAACCACCCTAACAACCAAAACCAACTAAATATCCCCCAAATAGGCACCAACAAAGAATTTTTTCATAAAATGGTAAGGAATGTACCTGTTCTTCCTTGCCTGAATTTGTGCGGGTGTCCTCGTCTTCAGACCCATTTATGGAGCCTACTATCTGTTCTTCTGCCACCGTCATGTCCTCTATCGTTGGACCACCTTCACTCATCGGAAGATCAACCGGAACCTCTTCTTCGACAACCTTTGAACAATCGCCGCCGTTGGACTCTAGAATTTGGAGTGGAGCTGGTTTTCCTTCGATTTGTTAATGTCAGCCATGGTTTGTTTGTGTAACTAACAGGAAGATCCATGTTCCCATTTGTAGGAAATGGGAAAGAAAATCGTTGAAAATCGCAAGAGAGAAGGGGTGTTTTCATCGGTCGGTTATTTTGGGTGGAGTCCCTCGATTAATCGATTTTGAATGGGGAGTTGGTTTTTTAATTTTCAAAATTTAAACCAATTTCCATTAATTATACTATTACCCATATATGTTTAAATCTTTTTAGTCTAACCCTTTTTGCATGTTATTTGATTCTTAAGTGTGCCACGTCAGTTTTTCCAAGTTAAAAGAAAAAAAAAATGCAGAATCATTTCAAGGTCATTTTGTTAAATGCAAACTGGGGAAGTCATGACAATTAAATTTCTTCACTGCTATGGCAACAGGCAAGAACTTATTTTTCTCTCTCTTTTTTTTTTTTTCTTTTTGTACTTTTTCTTCGCCCATCTCCCCCACCTACCAACACTCGTCAAAGCCCTTTCTTCAAACACTTTATGTGCAATTGGGAAAAGGTTGAAGGTGAGAGTTTTGGGGAGCGGCAGCGACCGGAAATCAACAACATAGCCTCAAAACACTTCAAAAAACCTTCCTCAACCGTCCTCCAATCGAAACAAATCAAACCCAATTCATCTTTCACACTCAGAAAACCCTAGGGTGGAGAAGCTTCAATCGTCAACTAACGATGAGCGAACGGGAATGGGATTGTTAGGGCTTTTGGAGAGGAAGGGCCGGTGAGTCGATTGGTGGTGACAACATAATTTTCTAGTGAAAGAATCAACCGGAAAAGCAAACGGCATGCAAAAAACCAATTGAGAAGGTGGCCGGTGAACAGTGTCCAGGCAGGGCTCGGACGGGAATGGGTTTTGATGAGGGGAGTGAGGTTAGTGTTTTGGTGATAGTGAGGGAGATTGGCGATGCCAAAAATGGCCAAATCGGAGGGTGGTGAGTTGAGAGAAATGGGAGGCTGTGGTTGTGAGAGAAATTTGAGATTTGGAAGGCTATTTTGAAATTTTCATTTTTAGTGACTTTGGGTGATCAATCAAAACACAATTTGCATGATTACCTACACGTGGCAACATCACCTATAAAACAATTAATATTCACACATTGCTCATCACTGAAATAACTCAGCAACTTTAATTTCAAGATAGAATTGGGAGAATCTTTTTGTTCAACCGAAGTGGATGGTGTAGCCAAAACTATGCATTTCTGTTCCCTTGTGAACGTATAAACAACTGAAAATTTTCTGTACATACAATACCGTGAAGAAAAAGCCATAAAAATGGAGCCAAAAACAGTAATATGTCAAGGAACATAACAACAAAATCAACTGCTCCAATTTCACCCATTGTAGTTATCTCATACAGAAATACATTGAAGTCTTTGACCTCCCTCCTCAAAAATCATAATCTATATCTGTCACATTCTGGGAGGCAGAGCGCTTAACGAGCCGTTCTTGCTCATCATATAGATCAAGGTTCTCACAAGGGGCAGGGAAGATGGTTCCTATTACACGACCTTGAACGAAGGCACACTGGAATATATGCTTCTTCTTATATGTTATTCCCACTGACATATCTCGGAAAGTAATATTTCTCACTGGAATTACATCGCTTCCATGGATACGTACAGGCACACGCACTCCTTGACCATGGACTCCAGTGAAGCTTATATCCCTAAGTATAGGAAGAGCCTTTGGGTCATAACCTTCATCAGGGTGTTCATTGTAGTCTGTCTTGATTACAATCCCAACTCGGACATTGTCAAATGTCAGATTTCGGTAGGTTATCTGTTGAACATATCCACCTCTTCCAGGGGCAGTCTTGATCCGAACTGCACGCCGTGAACTCCAGACCAGGAGGTTCTCCACAGTGACATTTGATACACCACCCGACATCTCACTGCCAATTGATACACCTGCACTGTTGCATGGTTCAGCCAAAGTGAGTTTCAGTTACTATCTGAAGAGCCAGGACATGCAACTACCGCATACCAGGCTAGCTACAAGGCAATAAATCAACTGAAGTAACATTTTGAGTTCGTTGTTTCATGGATCAGTTTATAATATGTGTGTGCCTCGGCATCTTGGGTAAGCCATCTAGTTCACTGAGTGATGTCCAACATGCGATGAACCCATGTTGTCAATTAATAAAGGTTGATGAGGCTCCTTCAGTTTATGAAAAACAGCACCTAGCATGGCTCTCGAAAGCCATACAGGTAAGACACATAAAATCCTTTTCCCAGCTTTGCTGTATCTAGTTGGCAATTTCACTTAAGTTGGTTAATCCTTCCACCACAGAGAAAAGATCCTACGCTCATGTGGCTGCCAAGAATCAGACCTCTCACAGCTGAATTATAATACTACATTAGTAGCAGTACCACAAATTGTATCATAGACATTCATGTGCTCATTGGTTTGAAAAAATAAAATGAATCTTCAATAAACTATAATTTCTTCATCCATATTTATGTAGATTAAATGCCATGTACCTCTCTTGAGGTTTAGCCTAACTAAAAAGCAGAGAAACAATTTGAATTCATAGGCCCATTCACCTGACCATCGAGCGAACAACAAGGTTACGGATGAGAATGTTCATCGAAGGCCGTCCATAAGCTATGCCATACTGATCCCACCCACTCTTTATTGCAATCGCATCATCACCTACACTTATATAACAGTCCTCAATCACCATATCCTCGCATGAATCTGTCCATGGCATGAAAAAGTTGGCTTTAGTCATATTCAAAATGAAATGAAACAAACAGATAATAAAATTCAGACTTGAACCACTGCAGCAAATCAACTAGCTGAAATTAGGTCTAGATACTGGGCCAACCAATACAATAATGTAAGATTTACTTTACCTATAAGGTGCAATGTATGATATTTTTTGATGTACTGAAAAGGGAAAATAGATGATAAAAAGGAAGCATAGTAGAATCAAGCGAAAATGGGTGCAATTTACAAATAAAGAAGTCAGTTTGAAAAATAAAATAAAATGCTTCTACAACGTACATTAATCACTTTCAACTTCTATGCAAACCAGGATAGCCATGCACCACTAGCAAGATGCAACATAAAACTTCATTCAGCCTGGATTCACGATCTCAAGGAAAGCTTTTATTCAATCCTCCACTCATCAACCCATTCAGTACTTAGAAGCTACAGAATCTCTATGGTGGAACATTGCCCACTCTTTGTCACCATCACTTAGATGCTTTTCGTTCATTCACCTTCACTGGTTTAAAAAGCGATTTTTTTGACAGTTTATTATAATTTAAGTAGTTTCCATGTCATAGTTCAGTCAATGATGTACTAACCATATCAACAGATTAAAATGTGTCAACCCATCACAGAACTGAAACATAATTGCATTGCTACGAATTGCTTACCAGGATCAATTCCATCAGTGTTTGGAGCTTCAAATACTGGAGCCAAGATTGTAACATTTCTGACTGTTACATTCTTGCAGTCATATGGATGGAGTGTCCAAAACGGGGAATCACGCAAAGTTATATTAGAGATCAAAATGTCACTTGACCACATTATCTGCACAAGTGGGCCCCTCGTGTGATTGAGAAGCTTTTGGCGATATTTCTTCCACCATGTTTGTCCTTGTCCATTGATGGTTCCATTATGTCCTGTCAGTCAGTGAAAACAAATACTAAATTAAACCAAGTCATAAGCAATAAAATTCACAATGAGGACAGGTGCAAGCCTAATTATGATTACATTGGAGTACCAAACCCACTTACCTTCAAAATCAAACTATTCCAGATTTAACTTTCAGCAAAACAGAGGACTTCTTTCACTACTAGACACAACTTTCTGTTATACCTAAGATGTTTGCCTTCCATTTTGGTTACTCTGCTGTCCTTGCAAGGTAATTCCTAGTTTCTAAATTTAATGAATAAGTTTTGAGCAACATTTGCCTACCACTGGGAAGTAGCATGTCCAATGACATCCAAGGTCATGTGACAAGGTGCTGCAGGAACCAGGTATCTCATATTCCATCCTCAAATAAAAAGTTCAAGAATATCCAGAATACATCATTTGATAACCCTCCTTCAGCACAAATATATTGGATACAACTACTATGTTTGCCACGCATGTCAAACTTAAAACTATAGTGCTCAAAAGGCCAACCAAAATGTTTTAATACAATTACCAGTTCCCTTGGTAAGACCACCCACTTTGTCTATACACATTTCTTGTTCCAATAAGATCATTAATTTTGATAATGATCTCCGGGATAACTCCTAGCGAGGCTGATCAGGTTCTCGAAGGCTACCTATGACATTTTTTGACAGAGACATGCACTAAGTTTGTTTATATGGCAATTGATTTTTCAACACCTTCAATTGTTATCATTGAACACCCAAAAAGATAAACTCCTAAGAGTGATTTTTATCTGTCATTTGCTCCCAAAGTCATGTATCGTAACTGCCTTTTCCTATCAGGGTGATAAATTATTGAGCAAGAGAAAATGGAACAGGGAAAAAAGATCAAGGCCTGAATAATAAATATATATTAGTAACAAAAATTAAGTCAGCAAGATGGAGAGTGTCTGATAACTGACCTGTTATGACAACATCTTTAAGGTTTTGCCCATGGATCAAACTCCCATAACGTGGGCCAGGGTGTTCTCTCCCATAACCATATGAAGGCAATGGAGGCATTAGTGGCCAATACTTCTCATTCTGTTTAAATATTACATATAATAAGGAAGCCAGCATAACCAAGATCTCAAGTCAAAAACAGATGAAGAAATGAAAGAGTAAAAGAGGAGCTAATTCAGTGGCTGAGATGAATAGTTCAATCAGCAAGAACTCAGTCACAACCATGATGTCACAAACACGTCATGGTCATGACAGTCTGTCAAGATTCCAGCAATACTGTAAGATTTTATACAAAATATATATGCAAAAAAATCAACTAAACCACAACTGATGCAACAACAACAATATCTTCAGCAGCATAGCTTTTGATAACACGTCAACAGTAAATATACATTGAATCACCAATCTCCTGCATCCCAAACATGTTTAAAGTATAGAGCAACAACAGTGTATGTCTAGTGTATGGAGACCCATCCATATTATCAAGGTAAATAAATAATTTTTTTAAATTAAACAATTATTGAGCAAAAGAAAATAAATTGAAACTAAATAAAAAGGTAGGTTTACATATCGTTTAGATCACCTAACTGATATTGACATTGTGTTGATCACTATTATTATTCTGACTAATAAAGCCAAACAGTCATCTTCTTTTCTTTTCCTACACTAAATTTCCCTTGGTGTCTCATGCCTTTTCCATCAGGGCCAGCGCCCTAACTGCTTATCCTTCTTATTTTTGGAGTTTACTAACAACTTTGGTATAGCTATGACATCTGCTTCAGAGCTGCTTTGCTATGTTCCAGTCATTAAATTTTAAAATAATGATTTGTGATCACTGTATAGGTTATGTAATTATGAAGCACATGATGTATAACTCCAATGCATCCCTTTAGATGCAAAAATGAGATGCAAACTTGGATGTATAGAACTACTCAACATTCAAATATGAGTATTTTCATACATTGCATCACATACAAACATGTTTATATGCAGAAACATGGGTTTTACTCAAATCATGAGCCTGCTGTGACCCTCTATAACAACCTTTTTTTCTGTTTGCTATATATCTTTACAAAAATGGTATCTATCTGTTATCACGACTTCTCGGTATAGAAGTACCTTGTTTAAGACTTACGCTAAGTCTAAACTCAAATTTTATAGCAAAGAATAACGTCTGCTGACATATTGAAAAGTATGTTGAATTACATAACTTAATTTTTTCCATATGCTATGTTAATTGTAGGGCTAAGCAGAAACTCGCAGAGTTTTCATCTTATAATCGATGAAAAAGAAAAAAAAAAAAAATTGTAAGATAGACACTCAAGGCCACATTAATGTTTCTATAAATGACCAAAACTCCTACACATCATCTCTGAATCAGAATAACAAATCCTAAACGAAGGGTAATAATTTCCAATCCACCACATAACTAAAACCAACCTAACGAAGTGAAAAATCCCCCCAAAAAACATAGAAATAAAAATAATCACCAACCTGGATTCCAAGAATCTCAGCATCCTCAGCAAGAAAAAGAGTCATATGACTAGTTAGATTAAACGGCGCCGTAAGCCATTTTCCAGGAGGCACATTAAGCTGTGCGCCACCTCTCTTACCGAGCTTAGAAATAGCAGAAACCGCTCTCTCAAAAGCCTCCGTATTTACAGTCAAGCCGTCTCCCACTCCACCAAAATCCGTTAAATTAAAAGCCACAGGTCTCAAAGTAGGGATCGGCCTGGCAGAGACTCCCCATCTAAAAAAAGAAAAGCCTCCGAGGACGACGTTTCGCTGCCAAAGGAAGACGGAAGCGAAGGCGGCCATCCATAGGACGGTGAAAAGAGTCTTGTGAGAGGAGAGAAATGTCGGGACCCAGCGCCGGACGTCGAGGCGGGAGTGGTGGAAATGAAAGCGCCCTACGCCCAGTGTCTCCACCATGATTTAGGTTTTAATTCAGAGTCATGAATTAAAATTTTATTTTGGTAGGTTTTGGAAGATGAGATCTAATAGGTCGAAGAAATTAGTTGATATGTTATTGATCAGAGTAATTCGTTACGGAGTACATTTGAAGGAAAGACACCGACTGAATTGAGGTTGAAAGAGAGAGTACAATGATGAAGTAACTGCGGGTTCCATAAACAAATTATGAGACCGTCCCTAGATCGGGACACGCATATTATAATACTTCCTGTATTACATCAAGGGACCGTTTGCATCAGCGGTATATCTGATAACATGTGTGATTTTCGTTTATTGTGTAGGATTCTTAGGTTTGATTTGTAAGTCATAAGATATTGCAATCTTTTATTGTAAAAAATATTTATTGTTGGCAATGTGACGGATAATCTTATTACCTTGTTAACAAGAAAATATTATTAAAATATTATCAAGATAATCTAATTTTTCTATCCATTTTGCTCTTAATTAAAAATTACTCTGGATACAATTGCCTTCAAATGTTTACTAAATAACAATTACACAACTCCTCTATATTTAAGAAATTAGCTAAAACACCCTTACCACAAAAAAGATTAAAAGTTAACAAAATATCTCCAACCACATAAACCACCATTGATCGTGACTCACCATCGTCGATCGTTGGCATCAGTCATCGTAATGGTGCATGATTGGCGGAATATGGCCAATCGTGCACCGTTAAGGCCTTTTCCAGCCATGGATCACAGGTCCATGGTCGGAAACGACTAAATCTGGCGTTTTTATGGCTACATCTTTGGCTATTTTTCAGCCATAGATTTGTGATCCATGGCCACTTCTGGCTTTGCTAGAGCACAATCGGCCATATGCAACCAGTCGTGCGCAATTCTGTCGACTACTGACGACAGTCAGAGGTGGTAGTTGGTGTCGGCAGTGGCTTGGGGTGGGTGGAAGTGATTTTGCTACAAATTAAAGTTGTATATGGTTTGAGTGTTTTAGCAAAATTTCAAACGTAGGAGGTTAAAATAAATAATTCAAAAAATAATAATAATACAAAATACTATTATATTAATATGTAAAAAGAATGACAATTTAGTAATCTATATAACATACCTACCCATTTATCCTCCTAACCAAATATATTATTAACTAATTTATTCGAACTAATTAAATACATTTGTTAAACATTCCCAGTAATCTTCAAGGTGATCTTTCTTTCTATTAATATAATATACCCCTATAATAAAGCATTATATGATCTAAACGCCTCTTAAAGTTTAAAAATTAAAAAAAAAAATTATTTTCTTATGTAATTAATTATGTTCAAATGATGATTTAACTATATCTTGCTAACATCTAATTTATTGATATTGTTTAAAAACTAAGATACAAAAATTAAATAAAAACTTATATTGGTGGATTGGGTTTGGGTATTTTTTTTAACAAAATTGAAGTTAACTAAAAACACAGAGGTCTTTGTCACAGTGGAGTGAAGTATATAAGAAGGCACAAAATACCATTTGCCATACCAAGTAGGTGAACTGGTGAAGAGTTGCAATCATTCCAATTAGCATATGAATATTTAAGGAAACAGTTGTTGAGCCATTACCCATATCCACCTAACCAAACTAAAAAATCCTCAGTGATATTACTACAAAATGCCCTAACCCTAATTTGATTAGGGTTTTCCAGATCGAGCCATGTAGGTCAGATGGGGTTGTTATTGCTAACCCCTCCATCTGATTTTACATTCATTTTGAGTAGTAATCTCCCTTACACACGTATTGAAACGTTTTAAATGACTTCATATAAATATATATCTATTGCAGATGGGCTGGGTCTCGATGTGAGTGGGCTGGAGGTGATGTGATCAAGCCTATAGCCCTAAATTTCAGCCGAAAGCCCAAACCATTACCTGTAGTTTTTTTTTTTTTTTTTTTTTAAAAGAATATTAAGATGCGAAACCTCTCTGGCTCTCTTGTTACTCCAAAGTCCAAACTTGATTACAGAGTGAGATTCAAATTAAAATTAATTATGCATTGTCATATAGTTTAATTTTTTTTCATTCATATTTTTAATGTTAATATAGTTAAACGTTAACATTTATTTATTTAATCATTAACATTTATATATGTAGTTAATTTTTTTCTTCTTAGTTTTCATTAACCATAACCATTTTTATTAAAAACCATCATTATTATTATCAACAAAACTTAACCTCTATGTATTTAACAGTTAGAATTGTTTTATATAAACCAATACAAAGAATTTTTTTTCTTGATCATTTTGATTGATTTTATTTATTAAACAAAAAAAAGTGCACTTTTCAATATATTATTATTTTTTGTCTATTTATATTCTTATTTATACACTAAAGTAAAAACACATGTTACAAGTCTTTTAACTTTATGATGATGTTAACTCACATACATATGGAGAGTGAGGCTCTCCTGCAGCATTTCACTTTAACTCCCATTATTTGTCGCCTTATGACTACATGTGTCAAATTTTTATTGGATATAGTTTTCCTTTTTCAAGTAGTACAATGACAATCTTCATGACGCATCTATGCATGTCTTGAGTAATAAGCCCTTCATCAAAGCGGGAATTGCCACACGCTTATTTAGACACCTTTGTCCAGTCTAGAGGCACTTTCTCATCCATGGCACTATCCATTTCTTCTACTGCACTCTCAACCCTCCCAACAAGGTCATTTACAGCTGTTTCTCAACCATTTTATTTTCTCTGCAAAGCTATAATTTTTTTTTTTCTTTTTCTTTTTCCTGCTTGTTACTGCAAATGATCTTCTTTGTTGATTTCTTAATTTTTTTTTTGTTGATGAACAGGGACTTATCTCAAAAGTTCTTGCCACTGAAACCTCCAACATGCTTAGCAGCAAGAACTCATGTGAATGCAACAAAAGGGGTGTCAAGTGTATGTGAACCACTCCCTCCGGATAGACCACTGTGGTTCCCTGGCAGTACAGCACCCGAGTGGCTTGATGGCAGGTAGCTTTTGCTTTCATCTAATCCGCCGGAATTCAAACAGAATTCCGGCCAGTTCGATAAATTGGTACTCTAAAACATGGAAACTCATGTGTTTGGAACCACTATTGATAAATAAATAGCTTAAATCATAATGGCCACAAGAATGGCAAATGCAAAATTGAAAAAGTGATTATAATGAGAACTGGACAGAGCTTATCTGGACACTGCGGTTATGTCCTTTCTGCATACTTTCAGTTCTTTTGATTTTTATTAAAGCATGCTTGAACATTGTTTTTATGCTTTCTTCATCTTTTATTGGTAAGAAAACTTGCCTTTTCATATTTAGACACTAGTTTCCTGCATAACTTTCACTTTGAATAAGGTATTACCAATGGCATTATTACTTTCAAAAACAGTTTTCCTGGTGCCTAAAGAAGGGAAAGCTAGCAATGATTTTAACAAAGTTCCTTAGTGGAGTATTATCAAGCAGAAAGTTAATAAAATATACACTGCTAATACATACTTTATTTAATTCAATCCTTTTTGTCTATTTTTTTTTTAAGTGGCAGCAAAAGCATGTAGAAACAATTTCTAGTAGATTTTGCTTGGAATGCTTGAGTATGTTAGTATGAGTTTATGAGACTAGAATAGGCTAGTTTTGTTTGGATCATGGAGTATGACTTTTCTCTTTGCTGTTGACAGCCTCCCTGGAGATTATGGCTTCGATCCTCTTGGATTAGGTAATGAGTTTTGAGTCAACTTCCTATAAGAATATACTGAACTTCTGAAAAAACTCTGATTTTCAGAACCTGTTCATGCTAATTCTAGTAGATACATCTCTGGTATTTAGTTTTCGATGAGAAATGTTTTACAGATGACTTTATGGAGGTACAGTTGTATAATCTGTGGTATGAGATGGAGCAGCAGTAAGCTTAATTTTCATGGTCCAGGATTTTGTGGCATATATTAACCTTTATCCCTCAGAAGTAGCTCTTCCTCCAAAGATGCTGATATCATTTGATATCATTCATTATGTTTTGGCGATTGTCTTCCAGGTTCTGATCCAGAGTTGCTTAAATGGTTTGCACAAGCGGAGCTGATGCACGGCAGGTGGGCAATGCTGGCTGTGGCCGGAATTCTCATACCAGAATGGCTTGAGAGCCTAGGCTTGATTGAGAACTTCTCATGGTATGATGCTGGTTCTCGCGAATACTTTGCAGATCCCACAACCTTGTTTGTAGTGCAGTTGGCGTTGATGGGTTGGGTTGAAGGCAGAAGATGGGCTGATATGATTAAACCAGGGAGCGTCGACATTGAACCAAATCTCCCAAACAAGAAGAAGCCAACACCAGATGTAGGTTACCCAGGAGGGTTGTGGTTTGACCCCATGATGTGGGGAAGAGGGTCCCCGGAGCCTGTGATGGTGTTGAGGACCAAGGAGATCAAGAACGGGCGTCTTGCCATGCTAGCATTTGTTGGCTTCTGCTTCCAAGCCATATACACAGGGGAAGGACCCCTGGAAAACTTGGCAGCCCATATTGCAGATCCTGGTCATTGCAACATTTTTTCGGTAACGCTTCCTAGATTCCCTAAAATTAATGAATTACATATTCATGTGGCAGAAGATGGATTAAACATTAGTTTCTGAACTTACAATCCCAAAATGGAGAATTAATGTGTTATTACACATAAATTCGTTTGCAGGCTTTCACAGGACGTTGATGTCAGAGTACCCTTCAAAGAAGAATTCCACATTGCTATAGAGCCAACAGTATTGTCATTCATCATGAGCAAGAACAATTGTATATAACAAGATTACAAGAATCCCAGAAGAGCTCTAGAGTTCCAATATTTAACTCCTATGACTACAGTTTTCATAAATTTCCATTTTGGTTATAATCCAAGGTAATTAAACATGTTGATGATAAGCATTCCATGTCTAATTATTGATTGACTCAGACGTTCAAAGGGAATTAAAAAGGAAGAAAAATAACCTAATTTCATTCCCAAAAGAATAGTTTGATCACCAATCTGAAACTGGAAGATTGTACACTTAAAACTTTTTCTTATTCTCAATGAAACCTCGATGTAAGGATTCAAATGTGACCTGGGTCCAGGGATGAATCCATAAAAAATTTATAATAATAAAAGTCCTTAAAATAGTGGGTGACAAGGTCAACGAAGTTGTGGAGCACTAGCCTCCTCTCTTTCTCTATCAAATTCTATTTTTAGAAATATTTCTGGTAAAGCGTGTAGACCTGCCAGTTCCTTCTCCAATTGTTTCCAATGCGAACAATGACACATCCTAAGCAAAAGGAAAGGCAGCCCAAGCAAAAATTCAATCCAACCTCTCCGAACAGTACGGCTCCCGAGCTGTCCCATTTCCCGCTCAGAAATGATCACGGCGGCTGTTCCTGTTCGCCTCCTCATTATTATTGTTCTTTCTCTTTTCACCCTTACCTTCTCCATAACCGAAAATGAGGCTCTCCTCAAACTCAAAGATTCTTTTTTATCAACTGGTGTCTTGGATTCTTGGGTTCCACACACCAATGCTTGTAAGGATAAGTGGGCTGGTGTCGTTTGTTCCAAAGGAGCGGTTTCAGGAATTAATCTTCGAGATATGGCTATCGGGGGAGTTATCGACGTTGATGCCTTAAACGAGATTTCTGGCCTTAGAACCATTGGTTTCCAGAACAATTCTTTCTCAGGTCGCATCCCGGATTTCAATAAGCTTGGTGCGTTGAAGGCTCTTTTCTTGTCAAAAAATCAGTTTTCGGGTGATATTTCAAGTGAATTTTTTTCCCGCATGACATCTATGAAAAAACTTTGGCTTGATAATAACAAATTTACGGGAAAAATACCCGATTCCGTAACGAAACTACCCAATCTCATAGAACTCCATCTTGAAGGCAACCAATTCTCAGGTCCAATTCCAGCACTGAAACAAACCACAGCCATTACATCGTTGGACCTCTCATACAACAAACTGGAAGGAGAAATCCCGGAAAGCTTTTCAAGATTCCCCGCTGATTCATTTCGAGCAAATGATAAACTTTGCGGAAAACCACTAAATAATAATTGCACTACAAAAGTAAACCATTCATCGACGCCTGAAGGGCCTGGACCGCTACCCAGCGAACAAGCAAATTCATCTGGTGAGGTCGGAACCGATGAGAAGAGCCACAAGTTGGTGGTGGCAGCTGTAATGCTTGCGTTTCTGATATTTTTCATGGTGATGTTTGTACTCTATGCAAGGTATAAGGAACGCGATGATTTTCGCGTGTTGGAAAAGGAAGACCTTAATGATGAGATGGAACCTCGCGTACCTGGTGGTGAAAGCACCATGGGAAAGCGTGGCTCGAAATCATCAAACCGTGGGGGAAAATCAATCGGTACTGATCTGGTGATGATAAATGATGAGAAAGGTCCGTTCGGGTCGTCGGATTTGATGAGGGCGGCGGCTGAGGTGCTAGGCAGTAGTGGTTTGGGATCTTCCTATAAGGCTGCAGTGGACAATGGATTGACTGTGGTGGTGAAGAGGATGGGAGAGATGAATAGAATCGGATCAAGAGATGATTTTCACGCTGAAATGGAAAGATTGGGGGCATTAAAACATCCTAATATATTGACGCCTTTGGCCTACCATTACCGCCGTGAAGATAAGCTCATTATCTCTGAATACATTCCTAAAGGCAGCTTATTATACCTCCTCCATGGTAATATATTTACCTTCTCATCACTTTCGATTTAATATTTCATTCATCTTAAACATTAATTAAGAAAAAAATTATTATTCAGGTGATCGCGGGATTGGTCACGCTGAGCTGAATTGGCCTACCCGTCTGAAGATAATCAAGGGAATTGCAAGTGGAATGGGTTTCATTCATTCAGAGTTTGCATCGTATGAACTGCCGCATGGAAATCTCAAGTCCAGCAATGTTCTTCTGAACGAAAATTATCAGCCATTACTAACGGACTATGCCTTTCATCCACTAATCAATCGACACATTGCAACACAAGCATTGTTTGCGTACAGAACCCCGGAGTATATTGAAAAGCAGCAAGTTTGTCCCAAGTCTGATGTTTATTGTGTGGGGATTATCATTCTTGAAATTCTGACAGGAAAGCTTCCAAGTCTATATCGGAACAATGGGAAAACTGATGTTTTGGACTGGGCCCGTTTGGCTATATCTCAGGGGAGAGAAATAGACTTAATCGATCCAGATATAGCAAGTACATCATCGCTTGGTATGATGGCGCGACTCCTCCAGATTGGGGCTGCTTGCACTGAAAGTAAACCTGAGCATCGACCAGACATAGGTGAAGCCATAAGGAAGATAGAAGAAGTACAAGTTTGAGGAATTGATGTCTCGAGGGTCGAGACTAGTGCGTTTCTAGGAAAGAAGAGAGCAAAAAATCTCAAAAATACTGGATGCTTTTAGGATGGTGATCTAGGAAAGTAAACTTCCGATTCGGAGAATGTAAATTAAAGGGTTGTATTGTAGACGGCTTTGATTTGTGTGAAGAATCATGGTGTCATTTCTTCAAATTAGGGAAAGAAAATGGTAAGGTGAAATATTGGTTTTGTAAAGCAAAAGAGTTTCTTTATGTCAAAAACTATATTAAAAATTTTCTTTGTTAATATTTCAATTTAAAAAGATAAAGCTTCTTTTTGTACATTTGAATTACCTTTTTTTCAATTAAATATTTGAAATGTAAGTTATTGTATTCAATAAATTGCTTTGAGTTGGTAATAAGACTAAAATTGATTTTTTCTTAAAATGTAAACGACATATTCCCACCCAAGGTTTGACGAAATCCTAAGTTGGTATCCCTGGTTCCCTTTATTCCAAATTCTCACCCTCAAAGTGACAGAAAATTGTTGGATATAACAGTTAAGGGGTAAATTGGTCATTTTGCAGGAGGAGGCGCACATTAGCAGATCTTCGCCCCTAACAGTGCTCCGACGCACGTTAGTCGACGTCGACCCTGACATTTTTTTCCCTTTTCTAGCGATTCTTCAACCCAAAATCACCCTTGTCACCACCATTCAAACCCCCATACTCCCCTCTACAAAATCTTACCCTTCACAACCCCTCATCACTCGCTGATCGCCAGCCATAACAACAGCTACATGCGACTGGTTTTTTTTCTGTCTCAACCGGTGAACGACGATTAAACGATTACTGGGGACATATGAGTTTTGTAGAGTTGGAGACGCTGGTTGTAGTGGTGATATCCAATTGGATTTTCGTCGTCAGAATTGATCGGAATCTAGCGAAGAACAGCAAAATCCCGAGCCTCATGGCACCAGCGATCAGAAGGGCCAATGAGTTGGGAACCAGAGGCGTTTTGGATGATAGATGATGGGGAAGGTGATGGAGGTGACCAGGGGCTTCAACGCCATCGGAAACAGACCAGATCCAGCAAAAACTGAGAGGGCGCGTAGTCAACAAGGGTTTTATTGAAGTAATTTGAAAATAAGATGGTTAATTTTATAATTTTAGTAATTTAAGGGTTAAAACATAATTTATAATTTATTTGTTAAAGGCATTAAGGTAATAGCATCCTCTGTAATCTAAAAATGACTAACAGTGTTATTTTATGGGTGAGAATCTGGAATAAATAAAACTAGGGGCATCAACTGGGTTTCGTCAAACCTTGGGTGGGAATACGTTGTCAAAAATGCTATATCCACTGAAGAATTGCACCGAAACACGTGGAGGCCGCCATGTTGGAGGATTGAATACTGACATAAATGGACGACCGTCCAACGTTTTCGGATGGCTGTCCATAAAAAGTTGTTTAGTTTAAAAAAAAAAAAAAAANTTTTTTTATTAACATTTCAAATATTAATTCAATTTTAATACAATAAAATTGTAATATAAGAAAAATTAGATTTATTCATTCAATTGATGAAACTTTAGCATAAGAATAAATTATATTTTATACAAGACATGGAAATTTAAGAATAAGATTTCAGTATTTAATTTTTTTATATTTTACGTACCATAAAAAATAATAATAACAATGTGTCAAAAATTACGAAGTTTTATACATTTTAATATTTATGATTCAGAAGTATAGTTTAATATTATTGTGTAAAATTATTTGTAACAGTTCAATCATAATAGTTTAATTAAAAGAATTAAAAAAATGGGTGAAACTTGAAAAAAATAATTAATTTTTTTTTTTTTTTTTGGGCCAACCCGTCGGGTTGGCTACTGTAAACAAATAGCAACTCGGCCCGTTCGGGGGTTGCATGCGGGTTGGGTTCAACTCGACCCGCCTATAAGGCGGGCCGGGTTGAACCCTCTCTAATGCGGGCCGGGTTAGGGTTGACCCGTCTAACCTGGCCTATTTGTTCCACCTCTAGTGACTCACCACCGCCGGTCGTTGGCGTCAGTCACCGTAATAGTGCACGATTGGCGGGATATGGCCGGTCGTGCAACGTTAAGGCCTTTTCCGACCATGGATCACAGGTCCATGGTCGGAAACGGCTAAATCTGGCGTTTTTATGGCCATTTCATAGCTACATCTTTGACTGTTTTTCAGCCATGGATTTGTGATCCATGGCCATTTCTGACTTTGCTAGCGCACGATCGGCCATCTACAGCCAGTCGTGCGCTATTCTGTCGACTATCGACGGCAGTCGGAGGTGGTGGTTGGTTGCCGGCAGTGGCTTGGGGTGGGTGGAAGTGATTTTGCTATAAATTAAAGTTGTATATGGTTCGAGTGTTTTAGCAAAATTTCAAACGGAAGGGGTTAAAATAAATAATTCAAAAAATAATAATAATACAAAATACTATTATATTAATATGTAGAAAGAAGGACAATTTAGTAATCTATATAACATACCCACCCATTTATCCTCCCAACCAAATATATTATTCACTAATTTATTCGAACCAATTAAACACATTTGTTAAACATTCCCAGTAATCTTCAAGGTGATCTTTCTTTCTATTAATAGAATATACCCCTATAATAAAACATTATATGATCCAAACGCCTCTTAAAGTTTAAAAATTACAAAAAAA